AGAAAATAGGAGTAATGAGGGGTGCCTGACTGGCTCGGTTGGTGGTGCATGCAAATCAGTCTCAGGGTTGTGGGTTTGAGCCCCATGGTAGGTGTAGAGATTACTTAAAAATAAAATCTAGAAAGAGAGAGAGAGGGGAAGGGAAGGAGGGAGGGAGGAAGAGAGAGAGAGAGAGAAAGAAAGAGAGAAAGAGAGAAAGAGAGAAAGAGAGAAAGAGAGAAAGAAAGAGAGAAAGAAAGAGAGAAAGAAAGAGAGAAAGAAAGAAAGAAAGAAAGAAAGAAAGAAAGAAAGAAAGAAAGAAAGAAAGAAAAGAAAGGAAGGAAGGAAGGAAGGAAGGAAGGACGGACGGACGGACGGACGGAAGGAAGGAAGGAAGGAAGGAAGGAAGGAAACAGGAGTAATGATATCAAAGTGGACTTCAGGCAAATGACATTAAATGACAAAAAGAAAAGCACTTTTAAATGCTATAAACCATAATCACAATTAAGATGTAACTGTTATAATCATCTACATACCAAATAATACAGCAATCACTTTTTTGAAGAAAGCTACAAGAAATGCAAGGAGTCACAGAAACATACAAGTAACGGGAGACTTACCCTTATAATTGAACACTTTCTAGTTCTTGTGTAACAAGTAACAAAAACTGATGCTGTATTACAGGTGCAAAGTGAAGTGTGGAATTTAAAAAGACTCACTACAGAGATCCTGCGTGTTTAGTGTTGACATATAAGACTGTGTCCTTAAAATTTTCACTTGGTTATCTCACTTGCTTAACCCTAGCCCTGGCCTTAATAGATTAGGTCACAAAGAAAACATTAGAGCATTCTATAAAGTAGAAATAAAAGAAACAATACTCTCTGATTTCAATGCAGTAAAACTAGAAATTAACAAAATAAATAAACAAAAAGCCCTGCTACCTGGAAATCCAAAAACCTCTGTACAGACTTAACTGTGTCTCCCCAAAATTGGTTATGCTGAAGTCTCAACTACAGTACTTTGGAATGTGATTGTACTTGGAAACAGGACCTTTAAAGAGGTAACTAGGGTTAAATAAGGCTATCTGGGTGGGTCCTAATCACGAAGACTGGTGTCCTCATAAGAAGAGGGAGAGGTACTAGAAACATGCACACGGAGGAAAGGCCGTATAAGGACAGAGCAAGAAAGTAACCATCTATAAGCCAATAAAAGAGGCCTCAGGAAAAACCAAATCTGCCAACACCTTGAGATATGAAACTTCTAGAGTCCAAACTTCTAGAGTCTAGCAGACCAAACTTCTATTGCTGAAACCACCCTATCTGTCGTATTTTACTGACAGCCCTAGCTAACTATTAATTTCACCTCATATTAAACAATTCCACCTTCTATTCATACATCTATTAATTTTTGGGTGAGAAGGAAAATACACATTGAACTAGAAATTCTTAAAAAAATAATGATAATTAAAACTCTACATATCATAATCTATAGAATATTTTTAAAGCAGGGATAAGAAAAAGCTCATAGGAAACACTTTACCAATAAAAATGAAAGAACAAACACTTGTTGAGTTAAATTCTGAACTCAAAATTTAAGAAAAAAATGACCACAGTAAATTAAAGAAAGCATAAGGTATACAACATGGTCCTAGAAAATTCTAAGATCTACAAAACAGTTAGTAGAAAATACCTGACTTTAGTGAGATCACGGGATTCAAGGTCAATATATAAATGTCCACTAACTATATTTTTATATGCAAGCAATGAATGATTAGAAAGTGAAATTTTAAAAAAATACACTCGCATTTATAATCACATAAAAATGCTAAGGAATAAAATGTAACACAAGATATGCATGACATATTCAATTAAAACTATAAAACTCTGAAGACAAAAATTAAAGATGATATAATTAAATGAGAAGACATACCATATTCATGGACTGGACAGACCATATTGTTGACATGACAACTCTCCTCAAATTGAGCTACAGATTCATTGTAATCCTAATCAAAATCGTAACAAGTCATTTTGAAAAAGATGACACGCTAACTTTAAAATTTATATGGAAAGGGAAAAGACCTAGAAGAGCCAAAACAATCTTGACAAAAAAGAACACGGCAGAGAGGACTTGCAATACCTGAATCACACTTATGATATGGCCACAGTAGTCAAGACAGTGTGATATTCATGTCAAGATGGACAAACAGAACAATGTAATAAGACAGAGTCCAGAAACAGACACATTTATATGGTCAACTGATTTTCAACAAAGGTACCAAAAGAATTCAATAGGAGAAAAGACAGTTTTCAACAAATTATGCTAGAACAAGTGGAAGTTAAAAAGGAATGTCCACCATCACCTCACACTACAGAAAAATTAACATGAATTGGACCGTAAAACCTAAGTGTTAGACACAAAATATTAATCTTTTAGAAGAAAACATATGAGAAATCTTTGTGACACAAGATTATGCAAAGCTTTCTTAAACAGAACACACAAAAAACACAAACAAGAAAAAAATGATAAAATGGACTTCATCAAAATAAAAAAACTGTCTTTAGTAGACACAATATGAGCAAAGCAAAACAGAGACTGTCAAACATGTTTCTGACAAAGGACTTGTATGCCAAATAAAGAGCTGTTATTTGAGTTATATGAAGATATATGAAGATAACTCCCCAATTTTAAAAAGGGGTAATATCCGAACAAACACATCAAAAATCCACATTACAAGATGCCAAATAAACATCTCTAGCCATTGAGGAAAATCAATTTAAGACCACAGTGATGTCTTAGTACACATCCACTAGAGTTAAATTAAAAAGATTAACAATAACAAATGTCAGTTAAGATGTGTTAAACAAATGGAACTGTCATGGGGGAACTCTCATATGTTGCTACTAGAAATGAAAAATAGCATAACTACTTTGTAAAACAGTATTGCTATATGTTATAAAACAATACCGCTATGTGTCATCACTCAGCAAAGTCATTCCAGATATTTAACCAAGCGACAAACATATGCCCAAAGACTTGTACATTAATGTTCACAGTAGCATTATTCATAATAGCCCCAAACTAATAACAATCCAAATACCTGTCCATCAAAAGGAAAAAGAATAAACAAATCACATTACATCCATAAAGTGAAATATCAATCAGCAATAGAAAGTGATCAACTATTGCTATATGCAACAACATGGATAAACCAGGGAATGTCTAAAGCTGGGAATCAGCAGAGAGGTCAACTGAAAAGAGACATGGGGAAACTTTAAGGGTGATGGAACTGTTCTATGTTTTTACTGTGGTGATTACATAACTTTATAAAACTACCGAAAGGCATCAAGCTGTACATTATTTAAATGGGTGAATTTTATTTTATGTATATTAAACACTAATATAACTATAAAAATTTTTAATGGCAAAAAACCCCATAGAATCAAGAAGAAAGCAGAAATTAATAAGGTAGGAAATAGAAACACAGTCGACTCCATAAATCAAATTCCTAGTTTAAAAAAATACTGAACTATATGCTTAAAAATAATTAAAACAGTGAATTCTGTTATGTATATTTTGTCACAGTAAAAAGAATAAAACCAACAAAGCACTAGCTGACTTATAAAGAGAGGAAAAAAGGACAAATACAAAATAAGAAATGGCCAAGGGAAGGTAAGCATTGAAACAAAAGAAATTAAAAAATAAAAATGATTTTGCAGACCTCTATGCAGATAAATCTGAAAACAAAGATGAAATAAATAAATAATTTCTTATGAAACACTGATTATTAAAACTGATCCCAATAGAGAAAGAGAGCTTTAACAGGTTATTTTCTATGGAATAAACAGATAATTATTCTAGAAGTTAAGGTTGGTTCAAGATTACAAAATCCATTAATACATATTAATAATGTAAGAGGAAAAATCATGATTATCTTCAGAAATGCTGAAAACTTTTGAAAATCTACAACACTGTACCTATCATTACTATTGTTGTGTTTGCCAAATGATGTTTTCCTATTTCCATTATTCACTCTACATTTATTAGTTGGAATTCTCCTGAAAAAAGCTTTTCTTCTCTCTAAATATTATACATTAGGAGCGCCTGGGTGGCTCAGTTGGCTGAGCATCCAACTCTTGATTTCGGTTTGGATCATGATCTGGTTGTGGGATTGAGCCCAGAGTCAGGCTCTGAGCTAAGTGTGGAGCCTGTTTGGGATTCCCTCTACCCCTCCCTGCTTGCGCTCCCTCTCTCTAAAATAAAAATTAAAAAAAAATTTTTAATTATACATTATTATCATTTGGATGCATAGATTTTTATTTTATCCTATGGATTATAATCTTTTATTATAACTTATTTCACTGCTCAAATGGTCTCAGATTTGGCCCATGGGCGCTGAAATTAGTGGAAGAATATATTATATGAAAGTATGATGAGAAAATCTACATAATCTCAAGGTACTTCCCCATAAATAATTATATATCACAAAGAGGAAAAACTAGTCACTTTATAATGGAAAAATCTGGCAGACATCACCTTAACCAAGTGGTCAAAGTTAACATCCCCACTAGGGAACAAATAATATACCTCCCGATATAATGCACTGAGGACACATGACTTCAAATTTGGTATTATTTTTGCTAAAAATATTATGACCTGAATTCAGTCATAAAAAATTTAAGACAAACTCATATTGAGGGGTGATCTACAATATAACTGGCTAGCACTCTAAAAGTAAAGGCAATGTGTGATTCTGGATTGGATCTTAGACAAGAAAGAGAATACCAAAGGGACAATTGGTAAAATCTGAATAAGCTGAATAAGAGTAGTATTTACTTTATTTCCTGATTATGCTGATGTTAATATCTTAGTTTTGATTATTATAATATGGTTATGTAAGATGTCAGTTTTGGAGATATCCATGAAATCATATGGGAATCCTCTGTATGACTCTTACAATGTTTTGTGAGCTCTGAATTTATTTCAAAATGAAGTTTAAAATATAAATATGTATATATAACCTAATACTCTGAAGTTCCCTTCTGGCCGACTCTTCTGCCATCTGTGAAGCCCGCAACTTCTCTTCACACTGATCCTTTTCAGATTGTCTCCAGACATCATGTTCCACTTTCATTTTCTCTAAATCCACTAATCTGTTCTCAAGTTCTAGCCTAAAACAACAGATGATAATTATGTTACAAGAACTACAATAACAATGATATGACAGCAAAATGTTTTCATATGCAAGGAGACTGAACACAAAATAAGGTAATTAAGTACTTACTTTTCATCTTGTAATATCACAAGTTTTTGATAACCTTCTTCCTTGGCAGCTTGTACTTTACGTATTAATTCACGATCCTTTTCTACTAGGAGTGTTTTGTGGTGTTCAACAGCTGACTTGAGAACTTCATTGTCTGACTGTAACCCTAACATTTTTTTTAAGGAAAAAGATATACTGCATTCAATGTTATTAAGATGAAAAGTCCTAACAGCAAGCATCCATAAACTGATTAAGACAATTAAAAGAGCACAGAAAGTAAGTCTGGATATACATTCTCAAAGATCTTTAAACCTTTATTGATAAACCTTATGAAACAGCCTAAAACTCAGAGCTAACTACCCTGTCATTATTTAACTTAGTATACACACACAAGCACTTTAATAAAAGACTATATATATTTACTCACTTGACTCTTGAGAGCTGGGGACAACCGAGATGATATCCAAAGAGATATATAATACTCTACTTCTAAAAGGATTCTGTAACCTTAGCCCCACAGACAGTATCATCATAAAGCTGGCTGGAAGTAGTATAAAATCACAGAAACCTTCAAAACCTATCATTCTAACAGAACTGTTAGATTTCTGGTAGAAATATAAATTAGAAACTTTCAAGTTTAGGGGCACCTGGGTGACTCAAGTCAGTTAGGCGTCTGACTTCAGCTCAGGGCATGATCTCACGGTTCATGGGTTCAAGTTCCATATCAGGCTCTGTGCTAAGAGCTCAGAGCCTGGAGCCTGCTTTGGATTCTGTCTCCCTCTCTCTCTACCCAGCCCCCGCTCTCACTCTGTCAATTTCTCTCTCTGAAAAATAAAAATAAATATTAAAAAAAATTTTTTTAAAGAAACTTTCAAGTTTATCCAATGAATTCACAAATTTTCCTTGTATTGATATGGCAAGTATCTTGCACAAAGAATAACTGAAGCAAATTCATATCTAACTGAAGTTTAAAAAGAATGCAGAACTAAATCATAAACTCTTTAAGTTCCTAAGAAAAGTTACTCCATAACCCTATGGAAATCCATGAATCAACATCAAGTAGAAATAAATGATGAAAACACTAATTCATCATAAGCTATGTCTGCAACTATAGATGCCAGTTCACATAAAGACCAACTTGAAGACAGTTATAGGCCAAAGGTAGCTTATTTAAACACCTTTTAAGAAAATTCAGGGGAAAAAAAGTCAGAAATAGTATAATTTTGAGGAATCATGGAGAAGGACATTCTAAGACTAAAGTGGAGCTTAAAAATAATCCTAGGCTAAAGTAGTCTCAATAACAAGCCTGCTATCTACATAAAAAATAGACTGGGCCTGGGACCCACCTATCTTCCTTACATTCTTTAGACTCAAAATGGTCCGGGACTAATAATCACATGATCTAAATAGATTCAAAATTATAAACCCAGAAAGTATGGATTCCCATTTGTAAAGTCTCGTTTAAGTATTAATCAAATAAATGACATAAACATAAGAGTGAAGTTTTTAAAAGCCAGATCACAAAATGAACATTCAACATAAATAAAAACAATCCATATGTGCTCTAAGACTAAAATTCAGTTAGGCTGAAAATCTGGAAATAAAAATTCAGTTTGATCTATTTTAATAATTTGAGTTTATATATAAATATAATAGTAAAAAGCATGGGAAATCATATATTACCATCCAGTTCACTTTGAATCTTATTCCTTTCTCTTTCTAGCTCACTCTTAGCTCTTGCTGCCTCCAGTTTGATGTCTGTTATTTCTAGTTTGTTTGAATGTTTAAGTTCTTTTACCTGTTGATAATTAGAAACTGAAATTACTATAGGCCATTAATTGCTTCCCCAAAAACATCAGTAGAAATGAGAACACTTTTTGGTAGTAGGGTATACAGTGTAAGAATCTTCCAGAAGAGAAGGTGCTTCAGTGCCTTGAACAGTATTTGGTACCAAGAAAATAGTGTTTTCCTAACAGAATTCTTTCTTTCGTTTTTTGTGGGTTTTTTTAAATTATTTCTTTACAGATACCTAGGTGGAGGTCATCTGGCTTAAACTGCCTTAAAAGGCTTAGCTGCAAGTACCTAAAATCCAGTAGTCAATGACTGACTCGTCTTCAGAGAAAAAACCCCTGAAACCCCCTTTAAAAAAAGGTGTTTGTGACATGAAGCCTTTCTAGGTATAAGGAATAGCATATAAAATGTTATACGGGTGTAGCATCACAAAGTATGCTTGGAAAACAATGAGCAATGTGTTACAGGTAGAGCAGAGGAAGGTATGAAATCTGTGGAATGGCAGGTAGTAAACTTTATATGCCATTCAAAAGGGCTGTGTATCCTGTTAGCTACTGAAGGTGGCACAGTCAACTTTGTTTCAGAAGATTAACTCTAACTGCATATTAAGATTAAGAAACTGAGGGTAAAGAAACCAGTTAAGAGGCAAAGGATTGATAAAGGGGGCAAGAAGGAAGAATTAATTGAATTTGGTGACTAAATTGTGTGTGTGTGTGTGTGTGTGTGTGTGTGTGTGTGTGTGTGTGGCAGCAGGAAGAACAAGTATAAAATATATAAATCTAATTTAAACTTTTGCTGCCCAAACCTAATTCTTTTAAAGACCTGAGTGAATGTACACAATTGACAATATTTTCCATACAATTAACCCATCACATACCAATTTTTAGTTTTCACTGAGACATCCCTTTTGAAAGTTGAATGACTCTAGTTCATAAGTAGTATTCATTCATTCAATAAATATTTACTGAGTACTTATTATGTGCTCTAGCACTGTTTTAGGAGCTGGGGTTACAGAAGCAAACAAGAAAGCTTAGTTTCTTCCAGTTATCTGCACTACTCTCTAACATTTTCCATATCCTTTCCCTATGGTAAGGTACTTCTAAAGTTAGTCCTATAGTTAATCCTATAATGAAGATTTACCCAATACAAATATAAAAATTAGATAAACCTGTACTGACATATTACATCAATGCATAAAACTATGAAATAAGAGTAGAAAACCACAACTATATACACACCAAATATGTAAAACAGAAGACGGTGGGAAGAGGAGAGTAAAGGATAATATACTTGAGTGCAACAGAAATCTATAAAAACTAAAGATGAGAGTTAGAAACAAATCAGTAACAGCTCCTAGATCTAATGAGGGGAAGGATGAGAAACAGAAGTGTCTTACCAAAAGAGATTCCATCTATGAAAGGTCTTAAAAACATTATAAAGAATGGTGTGGCCAAAATCCAAAAAAAAACCCAAAAAAAACAAAAAAGCAAATACTGTGCAAATACTGTGCTGCCTTTGTACTGCTAACCACATTTAAGATGCATGCTTCCAAATTAACTTATTGATTTTCAAATGATACTACATAAAATGAATACTGTTTGCTAACATAATGTTTGTAGTTTTAAACATTTCTGAAGTTCTTTTCCATGAAAGCAAGTCTCATAGAAACTATATAAAAGCAGCTAAGAAATTGTATTTATCTTGAGAACTTAAATTTTCCTGTAGATTGGACTTTACTATATTATAATTTCATGACAGACATATCGTTGTTTTAAAATTTTGAATATTAACTACAATGAAAATCTAATTTCTATAACAAATGAAATTATAGCCTGCTATTATATACTAACTGTAAAAGGTTAAGAATGACATAATAGTTAATTAACAAACCACACTGTACCTTCTCTAAATAAGAGGTGGAAAATTAGGACCATCTTATTTTGCAGAAACCTGATTCATTTCAACAAGAACTAATATGAAATCTATAAAAAACTATTTAATTCATTTCACTCTGAGATATACTGAAATGAGAAAATATTTTTCATCTAAACTATAATTATTGAAACTGAAAGAATTCTAGACAGAGAGTCAAATAAGTGAAGTCTGTCTTCAGGCCTACTTTTATTATTAAACTAGTGACCTATGCTCAAGCAAAGTACTGTCCTCTCTCATTTGAATTTATTCATCTATGGACCTATATGACTTTAAGCTTTCCTTTAGTGACACATTTCTATAATCCTAACATAGTGAATGCACTTATACTAGCAGTAATTATTAACTTCCTGAAAATATAATAAAAGGAATTATTTTATTAAAATGAGAAATTTATATGAACATTTATTACATAGCTATGACAGCAGCACATTCTGTAAGTAATCTGAACCAAATCCCAATTAGTCATAATAAACTTTTCTTTCTGGCTCTAAATATATGATTCTTCACCTTCCTTGGGCTAAGCTACCCTGTTATTCCTTTTATTTTTCATAACATTTTCCATTCTAGCCTTCCTGTTGCCAACTTGCCTTATGCTATTGAAACAACAGGACCCAAGTATTCATAAAGTACTACCTACTAAACTTTAAAAAATAAAAACACTGGCAATAGTTTTACAGGGGTTCAGAATCTGTTAAATTATACATACACATATACACAAAGACATGCAAGAACACAATATATATAAGCAAGAAAAATATAGTTGTAAAAAATGTATTACTCAAGAAGCTCTTGAGGCAAATTCCAAAAAGATACGTGTACTTAAATTCTGATATTTTTCAGAGGTCTGAGATGGTGTGACCTCATTAATGTAGTTAATAAGTATAACTGTGTGGGATGATTTCCTTAAAACTGTATATTTTATTGGAGTTCTAAAAATCAAACACCTCCTGGGGTAACCAGAATTTATTTCATTGAATGTGAAATATCTTTAAGGTCACTATTTTCAGGCCATCTTTAGTAATACTTTTTAATCCAAGACACTGAGAGTCACACTGACATAATTCTGTTCAAAAACCTAACACTTACAAATTTGAATAACTTAGAAAAATACACCCCAGGTGCTCCTTTGCATTGCAAACAACCATTTGCTAAAGTTGCAAAATACTGATGAAAATTTCAAGTTGCAAAGAAAACTGTCAATTGTGGTTGAAATATCATTTTAAAATTTATCTTTCCAATGAAATCTTTTTACATGCATGATTCTAAATGAAAATTTGGTTTGTCTAAAGCTGAAGGGTGGTTTGTAATTGTCATTTACATGCAAAAAATGTAAGTGTGGCTTTAAAAAGGCAACTCTTACCAATACTACTACTGGAAGAAAGGTATGAGAGAGCTTCCTGAATTTACTTTTTTGTGTTTTGCATCTATTTATTTGTATACTCTATCACTGTAGGCACTCAATGTATATCTCTCAATATGTACACACTTATATAAATAATCTACCTAGGTTAATCGGGAAGCAATTATATTATTAATTTCTTTTCTAGTAGGGCTTACACAATCTTTGTAGGCTGGAAAAGTTCCTAGGGATGAGCCAGAACAATACTTTGTTTCATCTAAGAGGAAACTTGCCTAAAGTTCTACACACAGTTATCGATACAGTGAGGAACAGAACTAGTCAATGGGCTCAAAGTTGTGTTCTTTCCATCATCTTCTTCTTTAAGGATATCACTGGTGCAAAATCATCGCCGTTACTTTCATCACCTGCTACTATTTACTATCAGTACTATCATTAATCTTCAAAAAAGCTTGTAAGAGACAGGATCAAAAGATTATTCTGATTTAGAGCCCACAGACTTTTCCACTGTAGTTTAGTACCTCCTCCAAAATGACTGATTTGGGCTAGACTAGAAGACTACACTCGAATCAAAGTATTTCAACAATTAAAAATCTTCTTGCCTAATTTTCACTTATTCTATCATCAGCCACGTCTAATGAATTAAATGACACATGACATATTGGCTACAAAACCACTTTGTAAACTGTAAAGTATAAAAATTCGAACAAAAAATTCAAATATCAGTAAATATATAATCTGCAAACATAAAAGAGTATATGTTTGCTACGGAAAAAACTGGGTAGACTATCTCCTAAGGGAGGCACCTAATACATCTAGTATATGGTTTGTGGCCTTTCAGGCACAGAAATCACCTCTCTCAAGGTGAGATTCACATTAGTAAAATTTATAAAGACTGATCTATAAAATCAGAATGTCAGTTATAGTAACTGTGAGAAAAAACTATAATGGAAATTAGAACACTCTAAGTCTAAAAGACCAGTGGGCATTTTCTCCCTGTAGACAAAATTACATGGGAAGACAAATAATAGAAAGTTTGGTGATCATGCAATCCGAACAAATGGAATGAAAGAAATTGACAGTTTCACACTTAACTAATTAAAACAGATTGGTGTATTCCTTTCCACAGTAAGAACAGTCTCTTCAAGGAGACCAGAATACTTACATTCTACTAACTAAAATTCAATCTCCCACTGTCAGACAATGCCTAAGTCTTCTCAAGTAATTCCTTGGCCAAGGAATTTATGATGAATACATTACTCCTTTAGATAGGTTCATTTCTATTAGGCTACAGTAAGTTCCTTCTGGTCTGAGAGCCACGTTGTTTTTTAAGGTAATTTTACCTTAGCTCTGCTCTGATGGAAAACACTTGATTGCATGGATTCAAAACCCAGACTTATTTCCTAGATCTTAAAAATACCCCCAAGTATTTTTAATATATATGTCTTGCTTTGTAAAGAAAAACACTAAAATTTTCAGAGATAAAGTAAATTGGCTCAAGATCAAGCAGCTAGTAAGGAAAAGAAATGAAAACTGAATCTAGTCTGTTTGCCTCCAGAGCTGATACTGTTATTCACCACAGTTTTCTACAAAATACTTTTATCATTGCTATCCTATTTCTGGTTACCAGATTCCTTATATATATGCATGTGAGGGAGAAAAAAACTAAGTTCCTGAGAAAACTTAGTATACGGAATACGTGCAAACCATTATATATATTCTTTTAAAAATAACGCAAATGCAGGGTGCCTGGGTGTCTCAGCCCATTGAGTATCTTCAGCTTCATGGTTCAGCTCTAGTAAGTTTAAGCTCCAAGTCAGGTTCTGTGCTGACAGCTCAGAGCCTGGAGCCTGCTTCAGATTCTGTGTCTCCTTCTCTCTCTCTACCCCTCCCATGCTTTCATTTTCTCTCTCTGTCCCTGTCACTCTCTCTCTCTCAAAAAAAAAATTAAAAATTAAAAAAGTCTTTTTTAAAATAACATAAATGCACACCATGCTGCTTTTATTAATTTCCTCACTTAACAAATATTGAGTGACTCTGTGTGTCACTGTTCCAGCAGCTGGAGATACAAGCAATAATAAAAGCATTCTCCCTATGCTTAAAGCTGATATTTGGTTGAAAGAAAAGGGGGTGGGAAAGAAAAGGAAAGACAAAAAATAAACAAATATAAATACATACCAAATGGTGTTAAGAACAATGAAGAAAAATAAAGCAGGTAAGTGAGGCAGGAAGAGGGAAGATGGTGTTTTACAAAGTGAAATAAAGGAAGGCCTCTGTGAGAAAGCAATCTATGAGGATATGAGGAAAGACCAGGTCTGACAGGCAATTGCAAAAGCCCTAGCACAGAAGTCAGAAAGAGTGAAAAGAAGGCCAGAGAGGCCGGAGCAAAGTGAGTAGGAGGGAAAATGGACTGTGAGGCCATGGAAAAATTGCAGAGGCAGATTACACAGAGCTCTGAATGGGCAGAGTTAGGGGGTTAAAAACTGATCCTAGAGATATCACGGCTTAGACAAGAGTGGTCACAGAAGAGGTGGTAAAAATTGGTTAGATTATGCATGTATTTGGAAGGTAGCATGATAAAATTTAAAAAAGATCTCCATACAGAGAAGTAAACTATTTAAATACAAAATTTCTTTGTCATTATACAGTATCAAGCATTCTGAAGAATGAAGTACAAACATAAGATGACTTACTTTACTGGTCAAGGTATTTATCTCTCGTTCAGCTTTATGCAATTTACTAATTAAAACAGTATTTTGTTCACTGATTGATTGTAGTTCTTTTTCCAAGCGTTCAGCCTGTAGTTTAGCTGACTGTTTTTCAGCCTTTAATTAAAAATATATTTTAAAATTTATTCGTAAATGTTAAAATTGTATAAAAATAAGCACTATTTTAAATATATGTGTAATCATATATAATAGCCCAAACTCCCCAAAAGCTCAACAATACTAACAGGTACCAAAGCAACAAGAGTTTTCTCAAAGTAACTGGTAGAATTAAAATGAAAGATATTTGCTCCAGAAAATATGTAACAAGAGCATCTGGACAAATTACATCAACAGCCACCACCAAAATAAAACTCATACAATTCTCTTGTGAGAGTGCACCTAATGTACTCATTTGACACCTATTTACTCTTCTTGCTGATATGATTCAAACATTTTGGGGGGTTTCAATGCATCACAGAAATATAAAAGTATATCAGAAAGTAGAAGAAAGGGCTCATTTGTAGTAGTAGCAGGTAAGAGCAAAAAATCTGAAAATCAGGGGAGATTAAAAAAAAGAGATTTAAGAATTCAAAATTCTCAATTAATCTGGAGCCTCTGGAAGTATGAACAAAGAGCTCAATAGCTCTTGATCCCATCACATAATAAATATTCTTAAGTCTGTAAATTTTCAAGAAAATTTCTGGTTGGTAACACTCCTAGTACTCTTTAACTTGAAAATTAAAACTAAATGCTTTTTAAAAATATTTCTACTCAAAATAGTTAAAATGTTTGACACTAAAAAAATAAGCTTTCACAGTTTTGTAAGATTTCATTTCCTATATATCTTAAATACAATAAGGGTATATTCAATAAATAATTCAGAGAAAATTATTTTCCTCTTTGGGCAGGCACAATGATAGGCAAAAAAACTCAAAGAAGAAATAAATGCTTCTTCTCACGTGCTGATTCTCATTTCCTCTGACAAATGATAAAGTAACTCTTGAAAAAGTCACAAATGAACCTCCCATCTTTTGTAATCATTGAACTTGTCCTGAAAATCAGCACTCTAAATGACCTCAATAAACGGCTTTGCATTGAGATCAAACACTGTGTTCAATTGCAATCATTCCACTGATTCTGTCACTATAAATACATTAAAATTGGAAAGGCAGTAACAAAGTCTCATTCTGAACTGCCTCATGTCTAAGGTCCAATGATACAACTTTAGTTTAGGAAACCAATAAACACTGATGGAAGCTTCACCCAAAAAATAATAAGATGACTTCTATTCTTCAAAATGTATCATTATTTTGGCTGTACCCAGTTTTTTGGCTGAAAAAAAATTAACTGTTTTGCTAGGTGCCACTAATTCCCTACAACTCTAATCATTTCACAACTATTCTAAATATACTACACACATACTTTGGATTGCTCAAAATAAATCAAAACTAGGTTTTGATTGCTCAAAACTAGTATATTTGCTACATGTTAGACACTAAGAACTAAGAAAAGTAAGTGTACCTAAATAAGATGGTTAAGGGATCCAGAATATGTCGCCTTGGCATAAACATTATTTTGAGCTGAAGGCATTTGATAATCAATAGACACAGGAAAAAAGTTTTTTCCTGAACTCCTCTTTGCTGCCAAAAACCAGAGCCACCTAAAACAATTATAAATCCCCTTGCCTCGGTTTTATAGCCAGGGAAGACTGACTCCTATCAAGGGAGAAGTCAGCACCCAGTTAAGAAATCACCTATACAGGCACAGTCACAAAACTGTCATATCTCCCATCTATTTCCCTTAAAGCCTGTTTATCTTATCTAAAAGTCATTTGTGTTCATAATAAGTGCTTTCTCCCATCTCCTTTCTCTATTAAGACGGTATACAGGGGTGCCTGGGTGGTTGGGTCAGTTAAGCATTTGACTTCAGATCATAGTCTCACAGTTTGGTTCAGGAATTCAAGCCCTGCATCAGACTCTCTGCTGTCTAAGCCTCTACTTCCGAGAAAACTGCTTCTGATCTTCTGGTTTCCCTCTCTCTCTGCCCCTTCCCAGCACTCTCTCTCTCTCACACACAAACAAATAAATAAATATTAAAAAAAAAAAAAAAAAAAAAGGGTGGCATGCAAGCCTCAAATTCTAACTACCACTTTGAGCCACACTTTTCTGTGAACTCCTGTTTACTTACACATAAATATCTATCTTTTCTCTTGTTAATCTGTTGTCAATTTAATTCACAACCCCCAATCACTAAACCTAAGAGTATGAAGAAAAAGTTTTTCCTCTCCAACAATGGAAACCAAGAATTTTCATAGAAGAATACCTTTAGGAGTACCAGCCTACCTCTGCCACCTCTTATCTTTCTCTAACGAACTCAGGAAAATAGTTCACTAAAGATTTATATGTATTAGTCCCAAGTTGAATTGTATTACTCTGGTAAAAAGCTGCCATAAGATATAGAACTATGGTATTTTTGTTTAAACAGGTCTTATGATTTTAATATCTTGAATCCCATGTAAGGAAATAACTAGGAATAAATTGTTCCTTCTGGTTTGAGATGACATTAATCCTCAGAAACACAAATTTTGAAAATTCTGCATAATCTACTCTCTGGCATCTCAAGGGTTAAATCATTTTAGCTAGGTGTCATGGCTCCCAAAGAATAAATAACCCCTTTGTAAATGTAGTAGCATAGCTATTGCTTATGAATCAATAGCTTTCTTCTTTACAAAAAGAATATATACTCTAGGGACTCTACAAATGGATCAGCATTAGATTGGTAAGCATACATTTGTGCTCTAAAAATCAAAGGCTTGTCAACTGCACTTTTAAAAAAGTATGCCATACTCTACCGGGAAGCAATTAAAATCTTACCTCCAGGGATCTGATTGTAGCCTGCATCTCAGCCAACTGCCGCACCTGAATTCTTTGGACATTTTCTACCTGAGCACCAGAATTTTCTTTTTCAGCCCTTAATGCTGCTACTTCAGCCTCTAAACCTTTTACTTTCTGAAACAAACTGACTTTTTCTAGAACAAGCTGCTCCATTCGTTTGCTGTCTCTTGTGGGATCAACACCAAGCAGCTGATTACGTAGTTCTTCTTTATCATTCTCCAGTGTGGCAATCTAGTAATAATTTGAAAGAAAGCACAGAATTTTACATTATTGAATTTTCAGTCATGAATATGCTTTACACATCAGTAAATTAAAACTTACACAATATGAAAAAGAAAGTTGAGGTGATGAAATCAAGTACAAAGGAAAAAACTTAAAATGTCACGTTCTTCATTCTGTACGCAGCATGACTCAAATATGAAGGCAAGGACCTTTTCCTATTTTCCCTCTGTCTCCCCATGGTGTCTAGCACAGGGCTTAATCAGTTGCTAAAATTCAAAATTATAAATAATAGTATAAAAGTAATTAAAAATGTGTCAAGTATTTTACAATTCATCAGAACATTATAAAGGTTTATCATATGCTGATTGCCACTAAGCTTTTCCTCATGTGACAATAATACCTGGGCTATGTCTATACTAATAAAATTATCTATTCCAAACCACTTAATTCACAAAAAAGCTGCTTGTCTGTGTAAATGATGAGAGTATAAACATGATGAGAGTTTTTAAATGACAGCTGAGAGTCTATTAAGGCCCTAGTTGCACTGATGGCCTAGTTCTTAATTATTAGATTCAAGAAAGAAAGAAAAGTTATTACTCCAGGGTATGTGGAAAAGTCACATGGGAACATGATGAACAGAAACACTAGCGGTCTTCTCATTCATGCCAACCCTCACTGCTGGATCCCACAGGCCTCCAATCATGGAGTTACACACTGCTTCTCAATCTCAGAGGCACTTCAGAGGCTCCTCACCTACAGGAATTGGGGGCTAAGTTATCAGGGTAAAACTCATTATTTCCCTTTCCTGATCTCCCCAACTACCACCACCACCACCAAACCTTTGTTAACCATAGCAAGTCCTCTCTTTCAGTCTCTTTATATATGGGGTTTCTTCATATCATTCAATTGAAAGAGCTGTTTTAATGAAAAAACAAAACAAAACAAACAAAAAAAAACTACTGCTCTTAATAATACCACAGGTTGTCTGTAGCAGGAAGAGCTGAGAAGGCTCACTCTAAGCCCAAAGGACTTAAAGTAACACTCTGTAAACTGGGCAAAAGTGACCCAGGAGATGAATGATGGCTCCACTTTGCAATAAATGAATCTAAAAAGTGTGAGAGCTCCACCACAGCACAGAATCTGTTTTCCTCATCTGTAAAACGAGAGTTTAGACTGAAGGCCCTCAAAACTCATTTACAGTTTTAACACGCAGTGATTCCAATTAGGGTTTAGACACATTGAATTAAAGATGTCAATGGGAAATACAGGTACAGCTATCCAGCAGGAAAACATTTTTTTCCAGAAAATAAAATTCATCATAGAAGGCAGCTATAAAATTCAGCCTCAAGGCCAACTAATTTAGTCTCTCTTTCCTATTTTTCCTCCCACTCTTTACATATAAACATTAAACCCCCAGGTTTGATCCCCAACTACTTTTTTCTTTACATATTCCATGTGACTTTATGCAAGTTACTTTTTCACTTTGGCACCAATTAAAATGAAGATCTTAGGCTGCGTATCTTTGAAATACCATTTAGCTTTTTGCATAAGGTAATTTAAATACAGTTTTTATATTAGAGGTGTGGTGGCTCATATAGGTCAAAGTCCAAGTGGAACTCAGGTTCAGACAATGGTGCCATTTACTGAGTACTATGGACCAAGTACCAAGCTAAATGCACTAGACATAAAATTGCATTTAGTAACAGTAATTTTCTCTCGTCATCTTCATTTTACATATAAGGACAGCTAAGGCTCTTGACCAGCAGGTTTCCTATATTATTGCTCTCTCCAATAGTTTTGAGAGTCATCTGTGTGACAGCTGAAGTGACAGCTCAAACTATGGACGAAGCTGGCTAATGGCATAGTCACAATTAGATCCCACAATTATAACTCCCAAACAAGCGCTCACTATCAAACCATCCCTATGAAATCTGGTGATCACTGCCTTCTAATTTCTCTATTCGTTTGTTCATTCATGTAACAAATATTTATTGAGCATTTCTTATGTACTCAGGACTGTTCTAGGTAGTAAGGATACATTGCAAACCTAGCAGACAAGCAAATAATCACAAAACCTGTGCCACCAAAGAGCTTATATTTAATCACTGCCATGATACTACCCTTGCCCTAATCATCAAAACACAGATCTTGAACATATTCTCAGCTTTTCCCTTTTCCTCCACTCTTAATTAGACTCACACTCAATCTTCCTTGATATCCTTAATCTGCTGACTCTCAATCCTTTCTCTAAATTTTCCAAAGGCTTTGTTTGAATTTCTTTTATTCAAGGAAATTCTTTGAATTTCTTTTGAACATGTATCCAAATTTGCCTGTATTCAGCTACCTCTACATTTACTTTATTCTCTTCTAGAATATAAACTTACTTGACAAGAAAAATGATCAACCAATTTTACTTTTAAAAACTGTTGAAGTAAAGGAAACAACAGAAACAAGAAACTAATCTGGGACTAGGAATAGTTGTTGTTCATCTTCTTTTCAAAGGATGGTTGTACCACTCTAACTCCCCAAGGCACAAAAAAGGAAAAAGTAGTCTATCTAATTGCTCCATCCATCTCTGTTTTTATGATCTTTATGATGCAGCATAGAGAAATGGCTTAAGAGTATAGGTTCTGGAATCAAAGAGCCTAAGTTTGTTTGTTTTAGTATTTTAAAGATATTTCTCTACCGTCTTTGGGTTTATATTATTTCCAAAATGAAGTCTGTTGTCAATCTTACTTTTCTTCTTCTGTACAAAATAACTTTTTCCTGTTTACATTTTTTAAATTTCATTTTTAGATGATTGTAGGTTCACATGCAACTGTAAAAAATAATTCATGGGCACTGGGTGGCTCAGTTGCTTAAGTGTGCAACTACTGATTTTGGCTCAGGTCATGATCTCACAGTTTGTGAGACTGAGCCCCACATTGAGCTCTGTGCTGACAGCACAGATCCTAGTTAAGATTCTCTCTCTGCCCCTCCCGTGTTCACAACCCTGCTCACTTGTATGCTCTCCATCTCAAAATAAATAAACATTTGAAACATAATAATAACTCAAAAGTTTCTGTGTACCCTTTACCCAACTTCCCCAACTGGTAACATCTCTCTTATTTTCTGTAAGACATTGCATAGAACTAGTTTTCATTCTTGTTTACTTATTTTTCTTTCACAGTTTATTGTCAACTTGGTTTCCATATAACATCCAGTGCTCATCCCAACAAGTGTCCTCCCCCATGCCCATCAGCTCCCTTCCCCTCTCCCCCACCCCCATTAGCTCTCAGTTTGTTCTCAGTATTCAAGAGTCTCTCATGGTTTGCCTCCCTCCCTCTCCCCAACTATTTCCCCCCTTCGCCTCCCCCATGGTCCTCTGTTAAGTTTCTCCTGTTCCACTTATAAGTGAAAACATGTGGTATTTGTCTTTCTCTGCCTGGCTTATTTCGCACTCAGCATAACACCCTCAAGTTCCATCCATGTTGCTACAAATGGCCAGATTTCATCCTTTCTCATTGCCATGTAGTATTCCATTGTATAGATAAACCACATCTTCTTGATCCATTCGTCCGTTGATGGACATTTAGGCTCTTTCCATGATTTGACTTTTCTTGAAAGTGCTGCTATGAACACTGGGGTACATGTGTCCCTATGCATCAGCACTCCTGTATCCCTTGGGTAAATTCCTAGAAGTGCTATTGCTGAGTCACAGGGGAGTTCTATTGTTAATTTTTTGAGGAACCTCTACAGTTTTCCAGAGGAGCTGCACCAGTTTTCATTCCCACCAAAAGTGTAGGAGGGTGCCCGTTTCTCCACATCCTTGTCAGCATCTAGAGTCTCCTGATTTGCTCATTTTAGCCACTCTGACCTGAGTGAGGTGGTATCTCAGTGTGGTTTTGATTTGTATTTCCCTGATTTGAGTTCCCTGATGCTGAGCATCATTTCATGGGTCTGTTGGCCATCTGGATGTCCTCTTGGGAGAAGTGTCTGTTCATGTCTTCTGCCCATTTCTTCACTGGATTATTTCTTTAAACACTTCTTAGAATTCTCCAATGAAACCATTCTTTCAGTGAGTTTTTAATATGAATTAAGTTTCCTTAATAGTTACATGGGTATTCAAATTATTTATTTCATATGGGGTGAGTTACGGTAGCATCTGCCTTTTGATCCATTTTATCTATGTTTGTCAAATTTGTTTGGGTAGAGCTGTTCACCAGATTACCTTATTAACCTTTTGATGTGTACAAGATCTGTAGTGATATTCTCTGTTTCATTCCAGATATAGGTAATCTGTACCTTCTCCCTTTTTTTGGCGGTCTTACTAGAGGTTTGTCAATTTTATTAAACCTTTCAAAAGAACAGCTCTTTGCTAAACTGATTTTTCTCTATTGTTTTTCTGTTTTCAATTTCTGCTCTTATCTTTCTCATTTCCTTCCCTCTACTTGCTTTGGGTTTATTTTGATCTTCTTTTTCTAGGTTCTTAAGGCGGGAGCTTAGATTACTGATGTGATATTTTTCTCCTGTTTTCTAACGAACACATTTAGCACTATACATTTTCTCTCAGCAATGTTTTAGCTGTATCCCAGATATTTTAACATGTTACATTTTCATTCAGGCTAATGTTTTTCTTAATATTATTTTTTATTAATATGTTTTCATTGAAATTTCCTCTTTGACTCACGAATTATTTGAAGGATATCATTTCATTTCCAACTAAGGATTTCCCTACTATCTTTCTGCTATTGATTGCTAGCTTGACTCTATTGTAATTAGAGAATTCACTCTGTATATTCTCAATTTTTATAAATTTGTTAAGGTTTAATTTATGGCCCAGGATATAGCCTGTTTTGGTATATATTCAGTGACCACTTGAAAAAAATGTATGTTTAGGTGTTCTTGTTGGGTCGGGTGTTCTATAAATGTTGACTGGATTCTGTTGGCTAATGGTGTTGCTGAGTTCTACATCCTTCCTGATTTTTAAATTTTTCCATCAATTGTTGACACAAGGGTGCCAAATCTCC